ATCATTCCCCAGAATGAACATTCGCCAGAAAACCATTCACCAGAATGTACCATTCCCCAGAATAGTATGCCATGTATTAGATTGACTATTTTTGTTTATTATAGTCACTCCTGGAATCTTCTTTCGCGTATATAAAAGAAGAGAAAAACTTCTTAATGGATCAAGGGGTTTTCCCTTCTTTGAAAATTTAAGAAAAGGAAATAATTAATTCTTTGGATAAACCATAAATAAGGGAATATTCCCTTCTTTTAATATATAAAAGAGAACATAATTAATTCGTTAAATATATGATAAAGAAGGGAATATTTCCTTCTTTGAAAATATAACAAAAGGAAATAATTAATTCTTTGGATATACGATAAAGAAGGGAATATTCCCTTCTTTTAATATATAAGGAAAATATATAATCAATAGTTTTTCGCAAGGGATTCGGGGTAATGCCCATTCGGGATAATAACATGTGGAATAATGTTATAGATTTGTAATCGGTAGTTCAATGTTCCATGCACCGATTTTTTAATCCATCACGAGAAATTCTTCAACTCAGGTCGAACAATAAGGTTTAACAGTTTCCGACTTGTTGAATTAGATTGCATAATAGACCCTTTGACTTTTTAAATGATGAACGAAGTTCTCGAAAACTTAAGGGTTGTCATTTTATAAAGAGCTAAAAAATGGTTTGTAATTGATAAATACATAGTTCCAAAAAAGTAAACATAGTGTATTATCAATAGTAAAAAAAAAAAGTGAAAATTACTAATTTCATCATCTTTTCTGGGGAATGGTACATTCTGGGGATTTCTTTTCTGGGGAATGTTGTAGATTCGGTTGCGGCACAAGCACATATCGTCGATAATAGACGATTGTTGTGTATCAGAGAACGCTTGCGCAAAAAGACTAGGGTGGGAAACGGATTCGAAACTCAGATGTCATTAGCCAAATACATCCGTAGACCATAGGTCCACCGTTGTATAATTGACAATGCACCCGTGTACTGAATGGGAATTGTGGGTTCGAATTTCACCGGTGTGAATCCTCACACACACGTCTCTTACCGATGATATGTGCTTACCTCTCAGTATGTTCAAACTTTCTCATAAACTATATGTTTAAATATTTCTAAACTTTCTGCTACGTCTAGTTTCCAAGGCGAAGATACACTCAGCAGGATATTAATGTTATCCTTTGTAAAATTGAGCCCCTTTGTAACGATATGTTCTGCAACCTTGGATTTAAATTCATAATGAAGTCCTTTATCCATCTCTTTGTTAGCCTTTTTTACCTCTGCGATGTGTTCCTTAAACCTTGTTTCCAAAGTCCTTTTCCTCTGACCAATGTAAATTTTATTGCAATCTGGACAAGAGATTTTGTAGACCCCGGCTTTCCCTAAGCCATTTATTGAATCTTTTGTTGACCCTAACAGTGACTTCAGCTGATTTGTCCTGCTGCTGAATACTAAATCTAGGCCAAAACTTCTAAACTTCAAAATCAATGGTTTGGTTATGTTTTTGTCGAAATTCACCGCTACCCATTTTAAACCATCCGTTACTGGTGTAAGAGTTGTCGAAATACGCCTAAAATGATCCCTTGTTCTTTTATCGATTACTGCTTGAATTGTCTTTTCTTGATACCCATTAAGTCTAGCGATTTAAAAAATGTGAGCTATTTCCTTTGATTTGCCTGTATCGCTAAGAGGAAGAGTTTGCATCCTGTGACCCATGTGGTGAAAAGCGGCCATTTTGTGTTCATGGGAATGGTTTGAAGTGCTTGGTATTACTCTCTTTGTATTTGTTGGTTTCCTACACGGAGAAAAAATACTACCCAAAATTTGAGTTCTTTTTACTTAATATTGACTTTAGCCTCTCACTTGCACTCGTTATTGTTGTCAACAAAGGAACAAGAGATTCGACCCAACGATATAGTTCAGCCCAATAAGTTACTCTTAAGTAAAATGCATATTCTCAAATTTACGTGAATTAAACTTAATTTTGGGTAGAATATACTTAAGAGTAGGTAATTTTTTTTGCTGATGTTAAATGGAAACTACTATATGCGGTTTACTCTAATTTGGGTTATTTGGCTGAACCCCGGAATTGAGGGAAAAGTACTTAATTTTGAGTAGTTTTTCATCTCCGTGTATAGATTTCGAAATTGAACGAAGACGTTTCACTGATGATAAGAAGTTCTAAGGCTCTGAACCATTTGGTGGAATTTTTTAACTTTTGGTTAAAATTTGACAGATGGAAAGTTATCGATTAACCCTGCTATCCGAGCGTGGTTATTTCTGACAGACAAGAAGTTAAATTTTGACAACCGTGGCTGAGTTCTTCTCGAAAACCGGTCGATCGACAGCACGGGGATTTTCGAACATGGAAAATAACTTTCGAAGTGTCACTTTTAACCACGAGCTAAATTTAACTCCGCAAATGGTTCACAGCCTAAGAAGGGGAGTTTGCCGTCTCTCTCTTCTTCGTGAGTAAATTTGATGTCCTTGTGAACGTTGTTTATGGTCTCCAAAGTTTTTGATAAATCTTCCCTTTTGACAATACTAAAAATGTACCAACACTTGGGCAACAAATTCCTATCCTCCAGAGTATTTTCTAGGTTAGCCATGAACAATTCACATAAAAATGGAGAAAGCAGATTGCCCATAGGAGCGCCTTTAGTTTGTTTATAAAAATTTCCTCTGAAAATGAAATAATTTTCCTCCATACAAAGACGAGTGAGCTTGAGATATGACCAAACTTTGTTTTTCCAAGTAGAATCCTCTATTGATCTCAGAAAACCTAGATCTAGAGATCTTTGGGGAGTTCCAGAAATCTTAAGGGGAAGTCCCCGAAACTTTAGCCCAGACTATTGAATTGGTTTAAAAATCTATGAGCGAGAGTTTAGACAAATTCAGGATAGGTTCATGAGGTGCTGAAATAAAACCCATAAGATGTTCCGAAAGATTCAGTACAGAGACTTTCAGAAAATTTATGAAAACTTAAATATTTCAGGAACTTTACATAAATCCAGAGAATTCCAGGGAAGTTCAAAGGTGTTTACGAGAATTCCATTTATTTTAAAGCAAACCCGAGATCTTCATTAGAGTTGAGAGTTTTAAGGAAGCTCCGAGAACATCAAGACAGATCAGAGAATTAAAGGGCTTTTGTAAAATGTAATATCGATCAATGTAATTCAAGCTGATATATGAAATAATGATGTAATAGCAAAAAGCAGATACAATATTACATCAATGGATGTAATTTTGTTCGCAAAATCGATGTACACTGCGTGTTTATGCATTAATTTGTCATGGGATACGTTTGCTAATGATCAGTAATGAGAACTTCTACTATTGTTTGATAAAATAATTTGACAAAATCACTGATATAATGATTCACTACAGCCGCAATTTTTTGTTCTAGCTAGAAGTCATTTGAAGTTGATGTAGAAGTCCTCTGTTGCCAAGTGAAAAGAAAGGGAATCCTTCGAAAACCGTGATGCGAATTCAACTGTTTTTCTCTTGGCGTGACTCATTATACATCGACTCTAGATTGAACTAGCATTTTCACCAAATGTACTAGAATGTTTTGGTTCTATCTCTTTCACTCTACTCAAAACTGAAATGCATAAAAGAAATGACAAAATGATACACTCTTTGCACACTGTCAAAGAATCATTGTACACAAAATCAACTTTGAGCAAAACCAAAACAAAAATACTATCCCATCTGGTGAATGATGGCACAAGCTTCTAAGAAAATTCTATTACAGCGAACCACATTATTTTAATTGATTTCTTCGCCATGGCAGTTAGTCGTCTGTCACTTCGTTTGTGGTAGCATCAACCAGATTTAAGTAAAATGCTCCATTTGCAAAATAAAAGCATTTAAAGATTGCACTCGTATACCTCACCGTGTAAAATTTTGAAACCATCATCACTCTCATAGTTCTTCTATTCTCCACGAGTGCCAACTTTGATTTGCAAATACGCGCCTGCCACTGATTTGATTAACTCGATTTATTTACATTTGTTATTTAGGACCTTTTGAAAAGTTACGCGAGAATTACACATTTTTGTAAACCTTGATCTTACATATTGTCAGTGTCAGTCGGTTTTTGTGGTTTTGGCCTAAGAAGAAGAGGATACAACTGGCTTCTTACTCTTTTATCTCTATCTCTACACTCAAAAAATTAAAAACATTTCCAATGGAAAATATCCATTAGAATCTCGGAATTCATGTGATCATATGAATGTTATGTGAATTTAAAAAAAAATCATTAATTTTGTTATTGGAAAAATATCATGTGCACAGCAAAAAAAAATGTAATATCGATCAATGTAATTGGGTTCTTTAAGGGTATTGAGGTAAATGCATATTCGTAATCTGCATTAAAAATGGAACACAAACCCAAAATTTCATCAATTTTGGTACACTGGAACTATTTTAAATAAGTACGATTACATTTGCAAAAATCACCTTATTAGCGCCCCTCGGTGTCACTTTGTATGGGAGCGAGCTGTCAGTTTGTTAGTTTAGTGTCAAACAGTGAAGTTATTATTTTGCTTTGAGTCTTGATTTAAAAATCAAGATGAAAGTGTGTGGGTTCGAAAAAAATATCGCTGTGCTCCGAAAACGAAGCTCTTTCAGATGATGTATAAAAAACTATACATTTTTCAAAATTAAAGAACCCAATTCAAGCTGTTGTATCAAATAATCATGTAATAGCAAAAAGCAGATACAATATTACATCAATGGATGTAATTTTGTTCGCAAAATGGATGTACATCGTACAACGTTATATGTATTACACAACCGATGGATTGACCTGGTTGCAACAACTTTTTTTTTTCTGTGTGCGTTTCCAATGGAAACTATATGAAAACTTTTTTCGGTGTATCTAATCTCACGCATCAGTTCAAATCGGCCAATCACGAGCTGGTTCGCGTTTGACAGAAAAGTGGTTCGTTTTCGCCCCCGTATTGTCTCCTCTTCCTCTTAGGTTTTGGCAAGTGAAGTAAAAAGCATGAAAAAGTTTACATTCGCTTCGGCATGTGTTAATTTGTAATATTTTTAATTGCAATTTCGAGATAATGAACGTCTTAAATAGATTTTGGTTTGCTTCCAAACGAATTGTAAACATATACAGCGTTGTTGGATCAAATCTACTGCATTCAACTGGAAGCAAGTAAGTCAATTCGTCTAGCAGCAGATACGAGTGTTTTGATTACATCACACTGGGGTATTTCTATCTTATTCAGATTAATAACAAAGACCGCTCCAGTTCCAACTACGTTGGTCAAATGCTTCTCCGTCTCGAGCCAGCGCTGGGACCTGATGGATTTTTTCGACGATAAGAAAAATTGGGGAGAAAATGAAGTAAAACATGGTCGTGCTTGGAACAGGGATGAGCTGCGTATCAAGTCCAACTCGGATTTACACAAGCTATGGTTTGTGCTTCTGAAGGAGCGCAATATGCTGCTTACCATGGAGTATGAGTGCAACGATAAAATGGAACTTTTCCCCAGTCCGGAACGGCTGGACAAGGTATTTTTCGACAATATTGTAATTTGACTATTTGTGTTAATCTTCTTAACATTGATTAGGTAAATGAGGCGATGAATAATTTGGAAGATATTGTGCGAGAAAGGAATCGTGCTTATTATGAACTAGAAACTGGTGAAACTGGAGAACGTCCAGCCAAGCTGGCGACAAATCAGCTGGGCTTGAAATTCTATTACCGTATGGTTGAACACGTCATTCCGAAATATGCCAACAAGAAGTGGAATGAAACACACAAATTTTTCTACCGGGGATCGGCGGTGCACAAGTTTTTACGGCTATATCGAGAGAGGCTGTACAACGTTAAAAGGAAGCAAAAGAATCGCGACCGAAACGAAGTTATGGGCTTGCTGAAGCGATACCCAAATATGGACCGAGCAGCAATTGCAGAAAAATATCCTTCCGTTGATGTCGATAAGCTGTTGAAGTATGATAAAATTCGAGGCAATTACGATTCGAGTAAGATATAGACGACCGATATGGTGGTAAGTGGAATAGATTAATTGTGTCTTTAACAATCCGATAATTATCTGTCTTTAACAATCCGAACACCCAGATGTTCATTTTATGTGCATCAGATAATTTCGTATTATGTTGTAGCCTTCTTTTTATTCAGTAACCCCCTTTCATTGTAAGTATAAATTCTATTCAAACTTGAAACTGTTTTTTGAATTTTACCACCGTCGGTCGATATGTTTTTTTCAGATCACTTTCCTCCATCGCTTTAGCGGCAGTTGCCCTTGGATGGATGTATTGTGTTAATCGAAATTTTCCGCCCGCAATGTCAATGTGATAAACAGCGTTTTTATCCATTATAAAGTCGGTCGTAATCACTCTGGACTCGTTGCTCTTCGGTCGACTGATATACCCAAGACATACCAATTTTTCCGATGCAAAATCGTATCTGGATAGCGAAATAAGGTATTAATTCCTAGGTCTATTTAACAATGAACAATAGTTTACCCTGCTGAAGTAACAGTGCCGCAGAACTCATTATTTCTGTAGATCGGTTCGCCCCCCCACGGCCATACATCCTTGTCAATATCGATGTCCTCCACGTGGAAGAATACCAGTCGTTTCATTAGTCCTTCGCGTTTCTGTTTTTCAAGTGCCGCTTTTCCGATGAAACATTCCCTTTTCTATAATTGTGAAATCTGTAAATTTGTGCTCAGAAAATAGAATATCACACACAGGCTACTTACATCCAACCGTACTGAGTAAGATACACCAGCTTCAAACGGAGTGGTCATACTTGTCAGTTCATCTCCCCAGAAGGGTATGAATTTATCAATTCTCAGGAATCTTTGTGTCAGTGTGCCAACGTCGCGTGCACCGTAATCTCGTCCTACGGACATAAGGCGATCATAAACGTGCAGGGCATATTCCGAAGGAACGTACAAACAGTAGCCGGGCATTCCGGTGTGCGTGAAAGACATAATCATCACATCGCTCGCGTAGCCAATATTCAGCTTCCGATAGGTGAATGGTTGTAATTTTACATTAGAGTTGGATAGTTCACTCATTAACTGCGATGACTTTGGTCCAACAACGTTGATGACGGTATACATTGAGGTGACATCATTCAGCTTAACGCTGGCATCCCGGGGTAAGTTTCGAGACATCCATTCAAATATTCTGGTCTGCTGTGATGACGGTGAAATCATGAAATAGTGATCTTCATTTTGTCGAATAAGCATACAATCATTTTCATAACCTCCCCGTTCATTCAGCATGGCCGTGTGTACAATATGAGACTTTTCAATGTCGACATCATTGGTGCACATTTTTTGGAGATAATGCAAAACGTTATTGCGATTGCTGTCGTGCTGTACTCCGGGCTGTTGAAAATGAAAATTAAGCGTTATGTATTACCGCGCAGCAAAACGAGTGAATACCTACCTTAATCTCTATTTTCGAAAACGACGAAATATCGATGATACCGACATGTTGGGCACATGCAACGTATTCTTTTTGCATACAATTAAAGAATTTAGGTTTGTAAAAACTTCCTTGTGGCATTGTTGGAAATTTAGCTCCTCCTGTAAGAAATAAGGCATTGAGAGATACAAGTAGATTTCATTAATAAGAATTGTTCTCCCCTCTATAGAAAAAAAGGGAAATTGATAATAAGTAACAATCATGCCAGCAGATTTACAATACTCACGCTCATATTCCGTGTCAAAATACAGTGCTCTTTCGTAAGCCATTTTGGTCCCAAAGACAGCTCCTCGCTGTTCCAGAACACTGTACAACGGAGAGCACCTTAATTTGCGGGAATATTTGTACTCGCTTTGGTTAGGATACAGTATGGCATACTGACGGCCAACAACCTCTTTGATCCGTTGCTGTAGGTATTGACGGTTGTTGTGCAGATGTAGGAACCTCTGAATATTGAACGGCAATATATCGATAGTCGGTGTTCCAGAAACAATCCATTCAGCTAACGCTTTACCGATACCACCGGAACCTTGTAGCGGATTACCGTTCATTCCACAAGCTACGAAATAGTTTTTCACTTCAGCTGTTTCGCCGAATATCCATCTCCCATCAGGTGTAAAATTATCGGGGCTGTTTGTTAATTTTGGTTCAGGTATGGTGCCCACTAGCGGTATTCTATCAACAGCCTTTTCCCATAGTGGTTTACAGTGAATAGCCATATTTTCATCCAAGTGAGGTTTCCATTCTTTAGGGATGTCTTTAATGCTTTCGAAGGCCGGTTTAGCTTCTTTTTCGAACCAACCAACCAACATTTCTGTATTCATCTGTCTTGCATAGAGATATGCATCATAGTCTCTTATGCAAGGTAGGAGTTGTTCTTTTGGAAGATTTAGGTTTGTGGTAAGAGCGAAAAAATGTTGTGCTGGGTATGCAGGAATGCAAATAGGCTTCTTACATTTCAATCCAAGCTCTCGTGCCCACATTCCACTGCAATTAATGAAGTATTCGCATTGTATTGTTCCAATATCGGTCTCTACACTGTCAACTCGACCACCTTTAGTGTTGACCTAAAAAATAATCCACTGAAAAATAAACATTTTATAACATGTATGTTTCACTCACATGCTTAACTACACATCCCTCGAAGAATTTAACACCCCTCTGCTTAGATATATCCGCCAAAGCTAGTAATACAAGCGCTGGATCCGCAATACAGTCATCTGGTATATAGACCGCTCCCTGAATGTCATCTACATTCAGAAGAGGGTGTAGTTTCTTAACGGTTTCTGCATCAATGAACTCACAAAATAAACCAGTGGGTAGATTATATGCAATTCTTCTTTTCAACGCTATCACGCGATCATGTGTTTGTGCCAAGTTCAGAGCTCCGCATTTCTTCAGACCAATGTTATGCCCGGCTTGTTGTAGCCTTTGGTAGAGTTTTAGGCTCTCAATAATTAAGTTTCGTTCGGGGGTAGGCTTGAACAAACCTATCGTACCTGACCCAAAGTCCGACGTGCCACTGCCAATTGCCCGCTGATCTAGTACTACTACGTTGGTCCACCCATTTTCGGTAAGATGATAAGCTACAGAGTTGCCTAACAACCCGGCGCCAGCAATAACAACTCTAGCTGTCTGAGCTAAAGTATCATTTACGGTGCAGTATTGCTTCCAACTTTGTCTTATAGGATGTGCAAATTTAATTAAGTTGTTCATATTTACGTCACATTTACTTCACACTTCTAATTATTATTTGGAAGATGTAGCCAAATCACGTCTTCTATTTTCTTTCAAGTACACCTTATGTAACATGCAGATTTTGTCTGCACTGCTAAATGGCACACCAAAAACTAAACTGTTTTTAGATTGCCACTATGGCACTACAGACGCAAGTTTAGTTTCACTTTTCCTTTCATTCATGTTTTTTGCTTATTAGTATCTCTGTTGATACTCTTAATACCGGAGATAGAATCGATTCTGCACCGGCGCGCTTTGGTCCTATACATTGAGCGGTACAAATACATGCATATTACCTTAGTTTGTGCATGGCAAACATAATTTTGTATATTTCCAACACTGTTTAAAAACAAACGAACGACCTTGCAACTTTTGGAAAAGATCTAAGCTTAGTTGATATGCCATTGCCCCAATGTATGTTAAGAATACTGTTCCTGTTATTAGAAAGGTACAAAACAGAAGCGATAGTAGGTAATCACGTTTTTGTTTGACACTGCATCAATTCAATCAATCTCAAGGACTTCTTCTTACAAGAGATAATGAGACCTGTTCTGTGTGAAACTGCGCGTGGATGTAACTATGAACGACTGCCTACGCAGGGGAAAGACGTCCTTTAACATCTCTCAAAACTTTCTACGTAGATTGTGGACAGCCTTTATTTGCTGAATCAACAAAACGATTGTAGTATCATCAAACGGTTTGTTGATTTTAGAACCATTCTGTTGAATTAACAATATTTTTAGTTAAAATAATAGAAACATATTTTTCACCGTTGGTCACTAACAATCTAAAATACTTCATTATCAAATAATTTATAGGGAAACGACAAAAAGTGCACTTTTAAATTGCGTGACATACTTTCATTGTTATTTATTCATTAATTATCATTGAAAAAATCAAAACACCTTTACAGTAATGACCCGATTTTGTCAGCCCTTCCGCATATAAGACTTTTGCCATTCAATAATTTAATGTAACTCTAATTACATATATTTCTAAATCATCTTCAGGATGGATGTCTAATGTAGATTTTGGTACAATAAGATATAAGAAAATAATTTCAAAAAGAGGGGCTAACAAAATTGGGTCATTACTGTACTGTCGCTCTCCGTAAGTCGGTCCCATTTGCGTTTTTGTCAAAACTGAGGTTTTCATTGAAAGTGGTAACTAATCATCCAGATTTTCATAATACTGGAATAAATAAACAAGTTTGTTATGGAAAAGTTTGGAAAAACAGCCAAATGTTTTTTTCGGCATGCGGTTTTGTGCTATTAGCTGGACTTGCCAAGAGCGGCATTATATTGCTTTAATTATTATTATTATTATTATTATTATTATGGCATGTCAGCTTCCAGTATGCAATCTACAACATGTTCCGTTAGAAACAACACAACGCACGCTCTGAAAACCACGGTGCTAAACTGCGAGGTATCTTCGATACGCTTCTCGGAGCGAAGTTCTTCATGTTTTTATTTTAAGAAATATTGTCCTTGAAAACCACTCAAAGTTTTTTTTTACTCGGTTTTTTTTTGTACACTGTTGGTGCTGCTTGTGAGGTAAGGGATTTGGTGTAGTAGCCGAGAGAGAAATGAACACTTCAAGTGAACTCAATGTCAGGGTAATGTAATGATCTGAGAATACAATACAGTCAGTCTTAGCTTGAACTCACGAACGTACGGTCTATCCCTATAATATCCGAAAGTGGTCTCCGGTCGGTTAAAGTCTTGACATTCTCCCTGTCAGTTCGAAGCCGTGACAATTGGCGACGAGGGTAAAATTCCCTGGACTATAGCAGTGTAATTGGAAGTAGTGAAATAAAAACGGGTCGTGAAAGATACCCAGATACTCTAGAAAAACATTCCACATGGCTACAGGGAGTGATAATAAGAATCCCATACCGCAAGTGGTACCGGTAGCGGGGAAGAGAACAAAAGGAAAGTTTCCAATGTACGTTGTAGGCCTCAACGTGAGTTCGTATTTGCAAACGGTAGAAATTTATTTTACGTTGAACAAAACCTCGGTCGAAGAAAAAGCGTTAGAATTCATTACAAGTGTCGGGCAGGAAACGGCAAATCGTATCATAGGAAGTTTTAAACCTGAGAAAATAGTAGATAAAACGTTTGAACAAATTATAGACAAGTTTAAAAAATTACACGAAGAAAATAAAAACGTGTTCGCGGAGCGCTATCGTTTGATAACTCGCAAGCAGGCGGTGGGCGAAAGTCTCGATGATTTCGCAATTGAATTGCAAGATATTGTCGAGCACTGTGGTGTTAATGTGGAAACTGAAGCAACCTTAGTGCAATCTGTATTTGTAGCGGGTTTGAGAAACGATAACACCCGAGAAACGATGTTACGTGACGCTAGTGAAAAGCTTAATTTGGCGCAGTTATTGGAAAAAGCGAAAAGCATTGAAATTGCTGTTCAGGGAGCGCGGAAAATGGGTCGTAGTGAATCGGGAGATGTAAATTATTTCGATCGGCGGGGATTATACTCCCAACCTCACAACTTAGTGAAGAGAGGCAAGTTTGGTGAAGCCAATAACGCATTTAAAAAACAAAGCGATATGGTGAGCCATCGGGGTACATTCAAGCCTAGTACTCAGACAGTGTGCTACAATTGTTATAATAGAGGTCATTTGTCGTACGACTGTACCTTACCAAAAGTGAAAAAACCTAGGCCAAGTGTACCACTACAGTCAAGATATAGAAAACGAGCATTCGAAGAACGTATCAACCAACTAACGGCGGCTATGGAGGAACTCAGGTCATCAATACAGGACGAAGAAGAACCGTCGGACAAGCAATCCATCGAGGGATCAGACGACGATGATGACGAAGCGGTTAACTGGGTAAATAACGTCCTGCTCGGTAAGTCAGACAATATAACACCTGCTTTTGTGGGCCTGATCGTAAACGGGAAAAAAAATAGAAATGGAGTGTGATACCGGTGCATGTGCAACGATATGTTCATTTAACACTTATAAAGACCATTTTAAGAACTTAGAACTAATACCAATAAAAAAAAGCTTTTTTGTAATCTCTGGAGAAAGGGTCTCAGTATTGGGAACACTAGATGTACAGCTTCAACTGAGTAATGAACTCAAAAATTTAAAAATGTTAGTGATCAACTCCCCAAGAGATTTCGTGCCTCTCTTGGGTAGAGATTGGTTGAATATAATTTGGCCGGATTGGAGAAAAAACTTCACTCTCAATTCACTTCAGAGTGAACCGAGAGAGCAATGGATCCAACAAGTTGTAAAAAACTTAAAAAGTAAATATTCAAAAGCTTTCGATGATGATTTAACGGAGCCTATCAAAGATGTAGTAGTAGACATTAAAATGGATCCAAACGCAAAACCGTTTATACACAAACCATACACAGTAGCTTTTAAACACAGAGAAAAGGTGGAAAAATATTTGGATGACCTTGAATCGAAAGGGATTCTTGAAAAAGTACAATATGCGGAGTGGGCTTCTCCTATCGTAGTGGTGGTAAAATCAAATAAAGTTGATATTAGAATCTGTATGGATGGCTCTAAAACAGTAAACCCACACATAACTACTCACCATTACCCATTACCATTAATTGAGGAATTAATTACAAATAAGAGTGGTGCAAAAAAATTTGCGTTAATTGATTTACGAGGGGCGTATCAACAATTAGTGGTATCGGATGCTACAAAAAAAATGCTTGTGATTAATACCCATAAAGGCCTGTATGCATTTAAGCGGCTACCATTTGGGGTAAAACCAGCAGCAACTCTTTTCCAATCTGCTATGGATAACATTTTAAGTGGAGTTCCTGGTGTACAAGTTTATATTGACGATATACTGATATGGGCGAGGTCGGATAAAGAACTACTTGAAAAATTAAAAATAGTGTTAGAAAGATTAGAAAGATACAATGTAAAAATCAATGCCGAGAAATGTCAATGGTTTGTCTCCCAGGTGAAGTATTTGGGTCACATTCTTTCGGAGGCAGGGGTATCGCCTAATCCGGAGAAGGTGAAAGCAATAATGCCAATAATGCCGTGCCAGTGCCTAAAACAAAGACACAACTCAAGTCATTTCTCGGCATGATTACATTTTATACCAAATTTGTCCCAAAACTGAATATAGTACTCTCACCATTGTATAATTTATTAACAAAAGATACCATTTGGGTCTGGAACGAAGCATGCCAAAATGCGTTAGAAAACAGCAAAAAAGCTATTTGTAGCGCAAATGTTCTTACGCACTTCGATCCTTCCAAACCCATTACAGTTACATGCGATGCAAGTGACGATGGTATATCAGGAATTCTAAGTCACAAAATAAATGGATTCGAGAAACCAGTTTTTTTTGTGTCTCGACGACTGTCCAAAGCAGAAAGGAAATATCCGATTCTACACCGTGAAGCCTTGGCTATAGTGTTTGCGATGGAAAAATTCTACAAATATATCTTAGGTCAAAAAGTCAACATAATTACGGACCACAAACCATTAGTGGGGCTTTTCATGGGCAAAAAGAATAGTCCAACGGTAATTGCAAACCGTTTAGAGCGTTATTTTTCTAGATTAACAATATTTGATTTCACCATCACCTATAAACCTGGTAGGGAAAATCACACAGCTGATTGTCTTTCAAGATTACCACTACAACAAAATTTAAGTGACGCAGATTTAAAAGAAAGTTTGAGAAGTTCTCCAAACTGGGCAAATTATTTGATTGAAAATCACAAGGTCGTTCTCAATGCCAGACTCATCTCCGTTGAATCTGAAAATGATCCAGTTCTCTCTTTAGTAATTAAACACATAAAACAAGGATGGCCAAGTCATGTTAAAAATAAGAACATTAAAAATTATTACGCTAAAAGACATGAATTGAGTCTGGAGGCAAATTGTCTTATTTTCAGAGAAAGGATTGTTATTCCAACTAGTTTGAAACATCATGCCCTGCAACTTTTGCACGCAAATCATAGGGGTGTTCAAAAAATGAAACAAATAGCACGTACATTTATATATTGGGAAGGGATCGGATCAG